TCTAAGAAAGCCTGACACTCTGTACTCATTAACATTGTACATGATAGGGCGGGACATCCCTAATCGGTTGACCAATCACAAGAGCCGGCGAGACTGGGCTCTGGTTTCAGACATATGGTGAAATGAGGGGCAGGCAGTATGAGAAAATTAAAGAGCTTTTTGAACATTAAAGTATGGAGACATGTCACAGTAGAGACACTAAATACAAGTATGAACCAAAAAAAATGTGTTTCACAATAGGGCCCCTTTAAAACTAAATGCTACTTTAAACAAATAAGTGCTGATGTTACCTGAATTCACCCCCTGAGTGGAGTTCGTAAAAGAGAGGAAATGCCCTGAATATCCCTTTAATATTTCATACATTCAGTGGATGTACTCTCAAAAAGACAGAACCACTGCAAATAGCCGGTTGGTTGTTACTTGATCTGTCTCTTCACATTGTGAATCTTCAGTGTTTCTGTGTGATGGCAGTTAAGCCGCTGAACTGAAGTCAGACAAACAGAAGGAAAGAGCGGGAGAACAAAGCCTTTAAGAATGAAAGCTGCTTCTCTTTTGACCTGGCGTTAACTCCGCAGCACAATGAGCTCCATATTTAAACAACGTTCAGTATATATTCCCGCTGCGCTCACGCTAATCACACAGCATGAACACAGACGTCACTCAGGTCGAGAGCGAGGGCAGCACACAAACAAACACTTCCAGTCGGCTCGGCTTACGAAATCCACGTGGGTGTGTGTGCTCACGGCTGGAGTGTGTGCTGGAAGCCTGATCAAAGAGGCCATTATTGGAGACAATTGGAGTGAAGTGTTGCTGCTCACAAGCTCGAGCTCTGCCCATCGCCCTCAATCACACCTCTTTCTTCGCTCCTTTACTCTCTATGAATCTCTGCTCTCACCTGTCCCGCGCGATCAGCCTCCATCTCCCACAATCCCACGCTCGCTTTCTGCACAAATGGCAGCTTTTCAACACCGCTAACAGTGCTACTTTTTGGCTATCACTGCTTTTCAGGCTGTGCAATGTGATCACCAGAAAATGTGTTTTTAACACCTTGAAAATACAAAACACAAACAAACTCACGTAAACAAACTGAAAACGTTAGAAAGAAAAGAAACAACCATTGAAGTTTTTTTTTACGATTAACGAATGGTTTAGCTTCTTATTAAACATTGTTTAAAAAAATCCTTTGCAGATTAGATAAATGTCGGCATACAAGTGATACCTTTTCACTACAAGTAATATATCATAAATAACATAAGAAGTTTAGTTCAATTTATGATTTGGGGGACCTAAACATTTGCAAACATGGGATTTTAAACTAGTAATAACAGAATTACGTCTTAACAATAATTTTTGATATAACCATATCAAACTGTAGAAATCTCTCGTATATGAACACACACACACACACACACACACACACACACACACACACACACACACACACAACCCACACACACACACACACACAGTGCACACACACACACACTCACACACACCACTGCACACACACACGACCACACAAACAACACACACACACGTACACACACACCACACCACACACACACACACACACACACACACACACACACACACACACACACACACACACACACACACACACACACACACACACACACACACACACACACACACACACACACACACACACACACACACACACACACAATGACAACAGAGGTCAGAAGTTTAGCATCAGTCTCTGGAGCTGTGAGTTTACCTAACCCTCCTCTGGGGAGAACTCTTCCTCCTCCTCCTCCTCCTCCTCCTCCTCCTCCTCCTCCTCTCCCCCTGCCGTCCCCTCATGTTCAAACTTCCTCTCTCCCTGCATGAATCCCATCTCCTGCCTCTCCAGTCCTCCCCTCTTTTCCCCCTTTCCTCTCTTCTCCTCGCCTCTCCTGCAGCGCTCACCGTTCCTGACAAAGCCTTGAGCAGCTGCCAGCGGCCCCCGAGAGCCTGACTGACTTCCTGCTAAAAATAAGAGCCGGGGGAAGAATCGCAGAGACCTGCCACCGAGGGCTGAGAGCTGAGAGAGAGAAGAGAAGAGGTGGAGGAATGAGTTTGTGGAAGGAATACAAGAGGAAAACTAAAGGAGATACGCAAAACTAAAAAAGATTGAGAAGATACGCCATGAAAGAGTAGGAGGAGGTTTGGGAGCAGACGGAGTTACCTGACCAACTTCTCTGTAATGAATACCTGATCTCCCCGTGTGTGTGTGTGTGTGTGTGTGTGTGTGTGTGTGTGTGTGTGTGTGTGTGTGTGTGTGTGTGTGTGTGTGTGTGTGTGTGTGTGTGTGTGTGTGTGTGTGTGTGACAGAGACGGGGAGCAGGAGGGAATGGAAGAGAGAAAGAATAGGAATAGGCAGATTATAAATATTTATACGGGCAGGCAAGAGGAAGAGGAAGAGCTGGCAGAGTTGCAAGGGAGGAGGAAGTGGAGAGGCAGAGGAGAGGAGGAGGAGGAAGGGAGGAAGAGATGAAGAGAGAGACTTCAGAGGCAGCAGCAGGCACGTTTGGCTCGGTTTATCTTTTCTTTCCCGTCTCTCCCGTTGCCTCTCTCGCCGCTGGAGTGCGGGCTAGCGGATTTGCAGCTCGTGCTCCCTGCAGCTTGGATGTGTGTGTGTGTGTGTGTGTGTGTGTGTGTGTGTGAGGAGGGGAAGGACAACAAGTTCTCCCCTTATCTCCCCCCCCCCTATGTTCACTTCCCTTTAGAGAAAGAGATGAACACACAAAGGCCCGCCAACATGCTTCCGCCGCTCCTGGAGAGCTTTGTGCCCGTAGTGATGACGTCGATGACAATGGCGATGATAGCGGTGATAGCGCGGCTGCTACGCTAACCCGACAGCTGTAGATCCAGCGATTCAACAGTTTTCCTGCCGCTCGGCTTCGTACGAGGTCACCTCATTCCGGTCTCCAACAGATATCACGTGCAGCAATGATAAGACTTACACTTCCCAACTCAGTACAGAGATAAGAAGCTTCCAGGGGAGGCAGAAAAGTCTGAGCTAGGTAAAGTTCCTCTGCCAGACAAAGGAAAACAGCTCGGGGATATACCGCTGAAATCTGAACAATAAATAACCTGCTCTCCATAGTGTCAACCAGACACATTTAAATATGAGTAAATGCCTGATATGCAAACCTTTAATGCTTGCAAAATCACATTATAGTAATCCTACATCGTACATAAACTGGACAGCGTTCCCAAAAATCTGTCCTTTTACCAGTTATTTTCCAAAGCCTCAACTACATCTGTTTTTTATAAAGCCTTCATGTAAAGCAGAAAGACATTTGGTGAATGGACTGTATTTATATAGCACTTTATCCAGTCTTTAAAACACTTTTACATTTACAAGCAATCATTCACAACTCATTCATACAGAGCAAGGTGCCACTTGGAAGCTAACATTCACACACATTCATACACCGTTGGCCACACCATCAGGAGCAACCCGGGGTTACGTATCTTGCCCAATGATACATCCACATGTTGACTGCAGGGGCTTGGATCGAACCCACAATTGAAAGGCAACCGCACTACAGCCACAGTCACCCCTGATTTAAGGGAAATTTGAGTAAAAGAATGTCAACCGAGCAAACTCCATTCACTGATGAAGACCAGAGAAAGTGCAGACAGACATATTACAAAAAGAGTTTGTTCACCATGAGCAAAGCAGCTACAATTCAACTACTCGTAATGCTAAACCCACCAAACGCATGCACATACCAGCTATTGTAAGGCAGACTTTGATCAGCTTCAGAATGGCGTGCAACCTTCAAACTTGCACACGCATCGAGATGGCCTTCTCATCACAGTAAGATTAAGACCTCCTTTATTTGTTGTATATGGATTAATGAGTAAAAGTTTAAAAAATGTGCGCAAAGAAATCTCAAGAATAAAGAGAGTTTGTGTGCTTCTAGTGACGTCTAAACGGGGTTCAACAGGGTCGACATAGCTAAATGACACATTTTCGCAAACCCTCATAGGCATGGTTATTCATAAGGCATCAAAAGCTCTTAACAAAGATAACTGGCTTTACAGACAAGCAGTTAGAGAATGTAAGTACATTAAGTGTCAACAACGTGGCTTGATATTCGTCAATTTGAAAACTATGCAAGGCTCATGTACTCTATCCTTTAGGCTTTTGAAAGCCTGCACCCTGCCTGGTTTGTTTCAGTGGTTTGTTCCAGACAGAGGGTCGCTGTCATTGTTAAACTACACAGATATGAACCCGGACTTCCCTGCAGCCTCTGTCAGAGCTGAGAGGAGCGTAACACAAACCAGACTCCCCCCCCCACCACCACATCACAGTTAAAGGACCATACTGTGGGTTCTGCATGTTCAACACAGCTTTACGTAATACAATACAGGGGTCTGTATTGTAAAACACTGCATCAGCTTTTAATTAGGATTTTTTTTAGGCAGTTGGTTTCAACTCATATATGTACGCAAAGAAGATGAAGCTGAAAATACCTCTTGTCCATCACAATGAAGTCATGTTTGTGATGTTTCCAAAGGTTTCATTGGCTGGAAGTGCAGTTATATGAAGACAAATATGTTTTAAAAACTCTCCTTTGTGTTTGTTGTCAGAACATTTAGACTGTGAAATCTTAATGATTTCTTACATTTACAAAATGTGTCGCTGACTATTCTCAGATGTTCTCAGACAATCTCATCAGTAAGCATGACATCTATTAGGAATGTTTGTTTGCTTATGAAAATGATCATCGGTAAAGTGGATTTGCAAACAGTGTTCTAAAAAACACTGGTAGGGTTGTGTTAAATAACAGTAAAAACTGCGCATTGTAGATTAACATCCTGAAAACTTAAAAGAATCTTCTGTTTTTGAAAGTTTTCTCACAGCATAGCAGCCAGAGTGAGTATATTTAGCCTGGCACTGACCTTAATCAATGAATAAACCGTCACAAAGGGACCTAGTTTCAGAAAGCGGGGCCTTGACACAGAGCAACAACATGGATGCTAACCTAGCCAGTCGTTGAACTTCTTGACCTCAGAGGGCAGTCCCAGCTCAGTGAAGTCTCCGGCGTGGATGAACACGTCTCCGTACGGCATCTGGATGCTGTCGGTGCGGGAGTGAGTGTCGGAGATGCACACAAAGCGGGTGTAGCCGGGGGGTTTGGGCGAGTCATGGGGCATCGGGTCCACCCTGAACCGAGGAGGGACAACAGAAGAGAAGAAAGTTAGGAAAAAGGGGGTCACTGCGGATATTGGAGCTCTTACGATACACTTCACTGTACAGTATGCAAAGTCTCTGTGGAAGGAAGTTTGAATTAGTAGGCTATCCAGCAGAAAATCATCCCCACAGACTGAGGCAGAGGAGGAAACATGAGACGTAGCGAGAAGCGAGAGGCCACAATAAAAGCCTGGCGCTGAGAGAGACAGAAAGAGAAATGTGCAGAGATAGAAAAAGAATAAAGCACAGATATAGGAAAAGAGCAGAGTCCTGTGGGATTCACAGCCAGTGTGCAGATCCACAGGGTCTCCAGAGGAAAGAGGGGAGCTGGTGAATAACCGTGGCCCACTTTAGTGAGCTCTCCTCCAGGTACGATAAAACCCAGCCCTGCCTCCTCCTCCTTCTTCCTCATCTGCGCCCCACCACAAGAGAGACAGAGACGAGTGGAAGAGGCAAAGGAGATATGCAGCCATGTAGCACAGCTCGTCTGAAATGTGAGTCACAAAGTTATGAAATACAGATGAGGAGGTTCATGGAAGATGTTTTAGTTCCACCATTGTACCAGAATAAGGAAATGTTAAGTGCTGCTTAATGGAGCCCCGCTGAGAAATTCTCTTTCTTTGCATTAATGTAACTGTTTAAAAAGGCAGGTTTCCTGGTTGTATAAACTACACTTAACTAAAGTCAGAACTCAAGCTGAACTTTTGAAAGTCGGAGAAGGCCAACAGGTAAACAACTTTTAAGGACGAATCATTTCTACAGTTACTAAAATGAGAAGCTCTGTATGTCTGGGGGGGGGGGGGTGCACTTAATCCATCAGTTCAACAGAAGTAATTCCCTCTTTCTGAGTTATTTTAGTCCAAAGACAGACTGTATATTTCCTCACAAATAAATTCCAGTTGCTTTTATATTGCTGTTTTTAGTATTAAGCTTTCTGCTCAGATGTATCACATTAAAAGCCTTCTTTTGACTTATAAACGGCCTAAACTAGGGCTGTGCAATTAATCGTATTTTAATCTCGATTACGATTTTGGCTTGCAACGATTACGAAAACAACGTAATCGAAATAAAACGATTATTATTTTTATAAAAAATAAAAAAAATGTAATTTTTTTTTTTTTTTTTTTCAGTTGAATTATACTTAAAGTTCAGGGTAATCAACTGTTAAAAACATACTGTTCACATTTTTGTTTCAATAAATGGATGTTTTCAAAGTAAATGGATAATCGTTTTTAATAATCGTGATATCAATTATTGACCAAAATAATCGTGATTAGGATTTTTGCCATAATCGCACAGCCCTAGCCTAAACTATCAGCCATACTGATACAGTGACCAGCCTTTGTTATCCATGCAGGCTAGATATTTAGCTACAAGCCTTCCAACAGCTCAAATGCTCTGTTTCCTTCAAGTCAGCTTTTAATTTGAAACTTCTACAGGAAGTGCTCTATCAACACTAACAACACAAATCGTTAAAACTGCAAAGCAGAATCTGCAGAGATTCATAAGCAACTGAGAACAGCGTTTTAGTTTAGCTCAAGAGCAGCAGAGTGATGAGTATGACATGACTCTTTTTGGTTCTTTGGCAAAAGTGCGAATTGCTGAATTTATAAAACAGCAGGTTAAGGATGTGTTGAGTTTGCAAAAACAGCAAACGGCAGGCACAGCAAATTAAGAGGAAAATAAGCAGAAGCGGAGAGTGTCTCAATAAAATATGATAAAGAAAACAACTCAATGCCTGCCTTAAACATAAACAGAACATCCATGAACTTTCAACAACTCAGAAACCCATTTGAGAAATGTTGCTGATACAATTGACAACCAAAAATTGTCATTTTTATTGTTCTGTTTGCGTTTAAAGGTCCCATGCCATGCTTTTCCGGTTATTACCCGTCCCCTTGTGTGTTATGTAGCTTTTTATGCATGTAAACGGTCTGCAGAGTCACAAACCCTCAAAGTACACCCTGTAGCGAGTAAAACTCTAACACAGAAAATACCTGTCTATGCTACCCCAGAACACCTCGTTGGACATTTATCTTTTTCCATTTTTTTCTTCCTGGGTATGGTGACGTGACCATACCCAAATGGACCAATCCGTGGAGCTCCTCACACACACACTCTCCCAGCGGTGAAACTGTGGCGCGCTTACACTGTAGGTACGCCGCGTTTGGGGGTGCGGGGGGGTGGGGTGCGGATGCTAGTGGAGCCTCGCAGATGGGGGGGCTGCAGCCCCCTCCCCTTCCCGCGTCCATTCGCGATGTCTCGCTGACCCCATGCAGAAACCAGGAAATGAACCCAGCTCACACTGTCCGCTCCTCACAGCAGCGAGCCGCGCAACGTCCCGCCAACACGGCACCCAGACCCCACGCAGCATTCTCATCTGTTGGTCCTTACTGGTGTCATTTTCTGGTTGCTAACTAACGCCATTGTAACACATAATCACTGATGTTCCGCTGTAACGGTGGTGGACTCATCAGAACAGAGTGGGCGAGCTGACCAATCAGAGCACAGTGGGCTCACAGGGAGGGGGGGGGGGCAGGAGCTCCAACAAGCCGTTTAGGACAGAGAGTGAATACACATACTATACAGAGATGCTGTATGATAAACCAATGTGAGTTTGGAAAATTGCACAATATAAATGTATTCTAGTATACCTCAACAATGGAATTATGATCAGTAGAAATGGCCATGACATGGGACCTTTAAATAAAATAAAAAATATGAAATGTGTTGAGCTATAGAGGTGCTGGTAGGTGTGTGTTTTCACTTTGGACAGAGCCAGGTTAGCTGTCTATCATGAAGCAAAAACACCGGGAGCAGGACTTTATGCTAGGCTAGGCTAACAACATCTCTAACACGCAGACTGATATTAATTCCCTCTTATCTCTTTAGGAAGGAGACACAAAAAGCTCATTACCTTAAACATTGACTTCTCCATTAATGGATAATATTCATTTCAGTTTGGAGTCTAAGAAACAAGGAAAGTTCATCAAAAGTAAAACAGGAAATAAAGTCACTTCCTCCAGGATGAACAGGAAAATGGTCATGTGACCGACGTCTCTACTCACATGTGGACTTGTGGCGGCTGGAAGCGTCCCTGGTTGATGTTGTAGAAGGTGAAGGCCTGAGTGGGGTTGGTGCTGTATTCGTCTACTTCCACTGCCGTCCTGTTGCCTCGCTGGGCCTGCAGCTGAGCCTGCGTCTGCTGCCGTCTGGCTGCCATTATTTCTGACAGGGTAAAGGCCATGGCACTGGGACCAGATCAGAGAAGGTGGAGGGCAGCGAGGTGGGGGGCTGGGAGGGTCAGTTTGGCTTGAGAATTGTGGGCAGGTAGTCCAGGTTCAAACCCTCGCTGAGTCACAGTGTGCTGAGGAGAAACGCCACCTCCTCCCTACTCCTCTTCTTCGCAGCTGCTCGGGACCTGAGAAGGACACAACAGAGCTGTGATGAAGAGGGTGTGATTAGGATGGACAGTGGTAAAAACAAGCAGAAATTTGAAAACTAAAACAATTCATTTCACAGTCATCCATCAAGTCAGGGTACAGGATTAAATATGATGAGGTCATATTTTTTACATGTTTTATACAGTTTATCATTTAATAAATAGTTTATTGTTTCAGCTGCTGATGTCACGACTTCCACTGCCAACTTGTGGGCATGTTTCACAATTTCATGACAATTTATTGGCTACACAAAAAAGATTTTAAAGAGGACGGGTTCCAAAATGTCTGTGAATCATCTTGGTTTGGCGCCATCAATTATTTGTTAAAATCGGAGTCTGCGTTTGTTTTAAAAAGGAGGTTCGGTTGCAGCCAACCACACCAGCAATAAACACCACAAAGTTGGTTTAAATTGAGTTTACTAGCTTTTAATCTTACATTTCTTAGTTTATATGCAAACATCCAAGCCCTAACCTGACCTGGGGACCATTTACGCATGCCATCAGCTCTGTCTGAACAGTAGTATAACATCATGAAGACTAAAATGTTACAGCCAAATAACCACATGTTTGCTCAGTAAGGTTAACAAAAGTATTTGTTTGGGATATCAATTATTATTTGTTGGTCTTTGAGTTACCGTGCTTGTTGACGAAGGTTACTTCCTGGTGGAGCAAAAGGTGTGGCTGAGGACTGAGGAGGACTGTTAAATCCTGGAGCCAATTGGGCCAAACCATGTGCTGCCATGTCAAGGGGGGAATTGGGACTAATGTGTTTGCTTTGTATAGTGTGTTCACCTTAGTTACCCCTTGTTTGCTGTTTAGTTCGGCCAAGCCACTACATAAGTCCCCTCAAGTGCCATTTGTGTCAGTTCAGTTTGTTCAGTTAAAGGTGGGGTAGGTAATTTTGGAGGAACCAACTCGAGTGCGCTAAAATTTGAAAATACACAGCCGGAAAAAATCTGCCACTTCCTTACAGAGCCCCTCCTCCAACACACACGAACGCGCACATGACCTGACATTGGTCATGAGGGCACGAGATAAGCGGCAGGTTGGCCATCCAGTTATTTTAGCCGAGCCGGCTAAAATGATTGGTCGTGCTTTTTACAGTATTACGGCTTCCACAGATGAAATATTTGTATGGATTTTTGGTCAAAGCACTTAAGATATTATTGCTATCGGGATGTTATGAGCATTCCATGGAATATAACAAAAAGTGTATCTCGAGCCGGTTTCTCAAACTTACCTACCCCACCTTTAACATATTTTTAAGTTGCTGTTACATTGATAAGAGTTATTTTGTGTTGAGCTCTTTTAAAGGTCCAGTTATTAAGATTATTGGTTAAAATGTCTTTTTGTAATTTGTGGGTAAAAAACCCCCCTGTTTTCTTTCAACAACTTGTGCCCTTGTTGCCTCACTGCTTGGTTAGTCAAATAAACTAAACTGATTATCAAAATATCAGATGATATAACAAGATGTTTATGATTAAAAGAAGATCCATCTTTTTTCTAAGAACAAACAACAACCTGGGAATTACTATTGTTCAAGCCTGACAGAAAATACAGAAGGAAAAAAAGTCCAAAGCATGCTTTACTTTTTACTAGATTTGAGTGTGGAGGTGCATGCTGGTAAATGACAGCACTGTGGTGTGAACGCTGCATTCTGCATCCCCTGCAGCTACTCCAGTCCAAGATTATCTATAAACTTAAATCTGATATTAAAATCCAACAGAGCCTCACAAGCCGCCTGAGCGCAACATTTTCACCTTGAATAGGAGGCTAAATGGAAAATGGATGTTATGCAGAATCTTAGTCAGGCTGCAAATTGAAGTTCAAGAGCTTGGATGATTTTATATTTACAAATGTCCTTTATTTCTGCTCCTTCAAAGTTACTTTTATATGCCGATGTGTACAGCATGTTCTTTTCATTACTAGATATATGAAATAATATACTGCAGTGATAGAATCTTTTAAATCCCTGTCACTGTGTGTGAGGCCTGCACACGTGTGTCGCCCATTAAGAATGGATTTCCTCAGTGCAGCTCATTTTCGGAGCTCTGGCGACCGCTGAGAGCTGCTGAGATGACGGGGCTGCTGGAGACGGAGGTGATAATTTGGGGACAGGCTGCTTTGGCAAAGCCTGCCGGGACCGCCATGCGATGTCGGCGTGCCATTTCCATTCCTCATTCACTGCAACCTCACACGCTGACAGCACACCGACGTGACAGATACACACTTCACACTGCGCCTGTTTGTCACGGGCAAATCCCAGCATGCTCGGTGGATGTGTTTCAGGACTGCATACATTACATGAGTGTGCTCTGTGCGCGCAGGTTGATGTGTATGTGGGCCTGTGCATGCATATTAAAATGTGTTTCTGTTGTCATGTGTGTGACAGTGACAGCCTCCCACACTGCCAGTGAGAGACAGAAAGATGCATTAGCAGATGCTGTGAGATTATAACACATTTGGCCAAATTGCTGTTTTCTGGATCATGCAGCCTTCAAAGGACAAGTACGTCTTCTACTCACAAACATTAGTCCACTCAATCCCATACTTACTCTGGCCAAAGTAAAAACTCTATTGCTAAAATCCGTATCCTGACATAGAGGTAATTCCTATAATTATTCTTTTTATATCTACACCAACCTCAAACTGCCCTCTCTGGAACAGTTAGCCCTCCTGTAAATGAGACCGAGATTTGATGGTGTCTCTCCGTCATTTTGCATCTTTTGTGGTCATGTTGTGTCCTATTTGGTCTTTTTGTGTCTATTTGTGGTAGTTTTTTTACTCCTAAGGGACATTTAGCCTATCTTTGTTGTCATTTTAACTCTTCTTTTTAATATTTGAATGTCTCCTTCTGATCATGTTGCATCCCTCTATGGTTGCTCGGAGTCTTTTTTTTTACAGCAGATCCACGTCTGTTTTTGTTATTTTAATTCTCTTAGAAGTTTCTCTGCATATTTGTGGACATTATGCAAATCCTTCAGCAGTTTTTTTTTATCTTTTTGTGCTCATTTTGTATATTAACACAGTAATTCCAGCATTTAGTTAACAGTGTAGATCAGGATTTATAAAGTAAGGTAATACAACAATGTCAACTGATATAGACAGAGCACATCGTACCATTTTGAATGTTAAAAGACAAAACTGTGCAAAGAACCTGTGCTCATGCACTTTATTTGTAGAAATAACACAGATAAAGTGGAAACAAATCTAATTAATTGCAGTTTAAGGTGCATCAGATTCAGCATTATTTCTATTCAGGCTCTAAATAAAAATGCACATTTTTTATTTAACCTGCGTTTTATCTTAATGTACAAACATATTCTCTAAAACATGACTGAGTTCTGAGAAGAGAAGAGAGATTCCTCTACAGTTCAGCATGTTTGCAGAGCTCGGATGATAAATGCAGAAACCGGAGAGACTGTCTGATTGATGCTCTCTCCTCTCGGGCACATTCTCATATTTAACAAACGGCCGTCATATGGGAGCCCGTGACTATTATCAGAGTATCTGTTTTATGTAAAGCCTCCTGGTCTTAATGGTGTTCTGGTATGATTTTAAGCCTTAAGTCTGTAAATCATGAGTTCAGAAATTACGAGGAAAATCTTAACTAGATACAAAAAAAATACAAGACAGATTCAACAAAGGCATTTTTCTCTGAACCATTACATCTCATAATTGACTTTCCTCCTTTTCATCTAACCAAATGTTATTCACTGACACACTATTGACTGGAAATGCACATTTTCCAAACCTTAACATAGTACATTTAATAGGATATTTTAGTCTTCAGTGACTGGTCAGCTTAAAGCACATTGTGAAGAAGTGTCCCTCTCCTCTTAATATGTTGCAGGCTGCAGTGAACTATAATAAAAGTTTGGTCACACAGGCTGCCCTGACTGCCTTTTTCTCTGACATGTGGGATGTTTGGGGCTCTGGTGAGCCTTGGAGACTTTGTCCTTTGGATGCTTCTGAAATCGGATCCAACATAAAAGCGTTCCATGCTTTAAAGTGCAATACATGGAACGCATGCCATTATTAAAATGCAGGTTACTCATGGACCATGTGAGAAAAACACACATTCATCAGGTTGCCCAGCTTAGATTAACCCGGAAATACGCATTGATGTTTTGGGGTTCAAGTAGCCTACTGCGGTGTGGCATGCATAAAAAGACACATCTGCACAAATGCACCTGGAGGAAAATGAGAAGGAATCAACCTACCGGCTCCGGTTCAGCTGCTGCTCGGTGATGGATGCAGAGGACGGTGTGCGCGCAGAGACCCGCTGGTCAGTTTGAATGCGAACCCCGTGGTGCACCGGTGTAGTGCGTGGTGGAGATACAGCCCCCTCTATCTCTCTGGCTCTCTCTCTCTCATTCACCGTGTTTCCCGGTGATCGGTACAAGGAGGAGCATAACAAGGGGGGAGGACCGAGAGCTTCTGCGCAGCCACACAGAGCTCACCCCCTCCGGTCACACATCCACAGAGATGCCGCTGGTGGTTAGAGGCTCTCCGGGGCCACCAGGGCCGGGAACAGGAGTTTATACACACTGAGGGCATGGGTCCATTATTCCCCCAGCACACTGAGCAAACATGTGGTTATTTGGCTGTAACATTTTAGTCTTCATGATGTTATACTACTGAGCGAATGTTCAGACAGAGCTGATGGCATGCGTAAATGGTCCCCAGGTCAGGTTCAAATCCCGGTCCTCCACAGCCAGGACTGAGCCTCTACATGGGCCACAAGCTTTTTGCCGATTTTTTTAATTTAGGGTTAGGTTGGGTAATGTATTTTTGGAAAATGTAAGGTATTCTCATCCCCGAATAACCTATTACAATGTAAAGTCCTGCATGCAAATTGTTCTTGGAGTAGAAGGTTGATTTGAGCAGGTAAAATACTTTAGCCTACATTTTTTAAGTACACGCATTAGGCACATTAATCTATGTCTATGAAAAGGGACATGTCTCATTGGTGGAACTAGTAAGAACAAGACATCTGAAACATGAGAAGGAGCCCCAACTAGACACAAACAAAAACACAATTGTTTTTTTAATGTCAAATCTGGATCTGGAAAGGAACCTTTATAACTATATATACAATATTACATTATTTCCCTCTTAATTGCAGTGAAATGGAATTATCAATGGCTATAACACTTTATACAAAATAAGTTGAAGTACAATAATTGTATTCAATTAAATATTAAGGTAAACAAGCTTCTACCGTCTATCTATCTTCAGCAATATTACTGTTACTCGGGTTTTGGCAGGATCTTTTGTTTTATAATCAAACCAAACATTACAAAATATAGTTTTTTATCAGTAAACCCCATTTGAACTTTTGCAACTTCCCACATTAGTGTTGGGATGATCAGTGAAATGACAGCATTATAGCTCTGCATCGTCTGTTCCTGTTCATCCACAGGTAATAGCAGTGGGATTTAGGCTGGTAATGAGCTAAACAAATAGAACACAATCTGGAGCTCAACTCATGCATCAATAAATCAGGGAGGAAGCTTACAGTGTCAGGTTGGAGTGAGTTCGCCATCTGCTGGTCATATGTGGTCCATTTCTCAAAGAACTACAATTTACTGGAACACCAATCACTCTCCTCTTTCTACTGTTGTACAGCACCTGCTGGGATGGTAAGGTTTACACATTTCACCCATTCTTCATGTGATGACGAGTCATTCCACAGCTCTTCGGCCTGAAAGGTTAGTTTGACATTTTCCAAGAACTTTCAAGAAACATTGGTTCTGTCACATTTTGGTCATTCAATCGGCCCATGTGCTGTCTTTATAATTTCATATCCAGTGAACTTTGAGCAGAGCGACTGATAGAAAGGCAACAAGAAAGCAAAAGGGAGAGTAATCTCAGCATCTGGCACAGTAGCATTTGCCTGCTGATGCCGGATACTGATTGGACACCCTGGAAATAACAATAGGAAACATCCGATCTGCCTGTCAAGTCTGATTAATGACCAGCAAAAATTGTGAAGCAGCTCAAGACTTTTAGTATTGTAGTATTTTAAACAGGCTTTGAACCCCATCATTTAAGAAGACTGCCACTGTCACTCAGTTATCAAAGGCCATTCACATATGGATAAAGAAAATGATTAATCTGTAATCAAGGTTTATGATATTCTTTTACGGATGTCCTTAAAAGCCAAGTGAATATTAATTTAAATGCTGTTCTGAGAAGAGACACAACAAAGAAGAGGACATGGATGCATCTGTAAAGTTTGTAAGGTGACATGTTTATTTCCTGGAGCAAACTTCCTCTTGTGCTGGTGTCAGCTGATTGACAGGGAGGAGAGCAGCAGGGATATGAAAACACTCAGTTCAGGGACAATGAAAAAACACTCAAACACAAACTCTGATCAAACCAAATGATGGTGTCACACTGTGATGGATTATCTCGCTCTGTGGAAGCAGTTTTTTGTATACTTCACAGCAGGTAACAACAGCAATATTATGGCTGCTTCTTACGGAGAAAAACTCTGCCTGATATTTTCTAGTAGCCTATGCTGATTTTTGGATTGCAGGAAGACTAGGAAGATCAAGGGAGCAAAAATACTCCTGTTTGTGTATCTAGTTTAATCTGGGTCCTCTACTACCTCTCTTTCACAACTATAACCAGTCACACACAACTCAGGAAAGGTAAAAGTTCCCCAGTTCATTCAGAATTGACGTCGCAGGGTAGCATTTAGCATGTTAGCTGAACTAGCATTCACCTGTTTGGTGTGTCAGATTTGGATCTCTTGGATCCAAGTACACAAAAAAGGATTTGTTTCAATAACAAGAGTCATGTATTTTATTACTTCTACGGCTAGCTGTATCTGTATGCTGATATATGGTCTTGTTACAAGGCTTGTTTGTTATTGTGTATCTTGTGTGTTTTGCATGGTTAGGACTCCATTTGGCTGTAAAGACTTCATTGAATGTACCAGTGTTTGTTGATAACATAACTTCACCTGACATTATATTTAATTGGCTTGAAAAGTGAAAATTGCCTTGTTGCTCGTATAAGATATCTAATAGTTTATTAACTTGAATATGTCACTGCTTAAAGTAGATAGTCAACCAATCCTAATTTCTTTGTTTGTAGCATACCGATGCCTTCAGAGTTCTCAAATGTGTCTGACCCCTCACCGGAGACACCTGAGTGACTGAACAAACTCTTAAATGGGAGAATTTGTGCACTTTGTAGAGTCTGAGGTCACAATTCAGTTTCCTGATTTGCTTCACAAGCTTTCCACTAAAGCAACAGTTACCTACAGCTATTTGAACGGGACAAAATGGGCAACCTACTGTAGACAGCAAGCAGCAGATTCATCAAGTCCTAGAACATGCACAGGAGGAGTGTAGATTACCTGACAGCAGTTCAAAACAGGTTATCTCACTCCCATTTCCTTCTAAGACAAAGAGAGACAATGTGAATGGGGAAAAAAATCCTGCCAGGGTGGATGATGATGAGTGTTTCTGATGTAGCATCCAGATCTCCTGTATAGATTGTGTCACTTGAAGATAAGAGCAATATTAGCAGCGTCAGACACATTTTCCACAAGCGTACTTTAGGCCAGTCGGGTTTAGAGCCACATCTAAGGAAAGATAAGAGATATAATGAGCAGATAAGAGCCGCTCCGAGGGCTCCTCTGTGTCTGTTCCACATTCAGGGACAAAAGAAAAAGTCGGAGTGTATTTTCTGCTACTGTTTTATTTAATTTGTTCAGTACTGGAGTTTCATGGACCAAACAATGGCACAACACTGCGTTACAATTTCTCTCTTTGGGTACAACCGACTAACACAAACTTTAAAATTATTCCTCTACAAATTGGACTAAAGTACAAACACTCTCTCCCTATCACAGGCACTCAGACCAAATAAACACACACAGAAACACACACATTTACTGCAAACACACCCATTCTCAGAATCAGTCTCTCTCTCTCTCACACACACACACACACACACACACACACACACACACACACACACACACACACACACACACAAACACACACGCTAACACAATAGAATACATTCTCAGGAAAACAAAAAATTCAATTAAAATGTTAGAGCATTTCATGTAATTTGTTTCATAACACTCATATTGAACAGTGCCCACCTCAAACAGGAAGTAGGCCATACCATAAATCATCTGTATGGCAGCTATTCGGCGGTTTGGAGTTTCAGTGAAAGAGTATTTAAGGGGGTGATTATCAGTCAATGCCGGTAAAAAATATTTCCCTTTTTGTCTAACTGGTTATTTCCATTTAGTATCTTGTTTTGGAATGCAATGCCCTAACTATGACCAGCTCAGTGCCATGCAGGACCATACTAGTAGTTTTGCATGCTTCAGTCCATTAAAAACAAATAAACAACATGATTAAAGATTGAAGAACGCATTTTTTTGTATTGACTTCCTTCTGTTTTATTGCAGTGTGCTATGAAAATCGAAATGTAGATACTAAAAAACATGTTTGCTGAAACAACGTATTATTTCTGTAGATATCATGAACAAAAGAAAGTAGCGTGGCCCAAAACACTTCCATTAGGAGAAACGTGCTGCACTGCAAGTCTTGAGCTTCTTGCTGCATTTTGCATCTGCAGTGTTTTGTTCATGCAGTTGTAATAAACGCTGCGCATGTCCCTTTTTTTCATTTGCATCATTTTTGAAACTGCAGCACGTTTCTCCTAATGGAAAGACTTTTGGCTGTTGAACGGCCTTGGCAACTGTCTGCCACCGTAAGAAAGAGTGTTTTTTCCAAATATCAAACAATAATTTGACCAGTGTGTTGAAATTACACCCCTGGATTATAGGAAATCTGTGATACTGCACTGAAGATAGTATACATAATTTTAAGTACATGTGTTAAAACCTACAAAACCTCCAGTATGGTCCTTTAATTTATAATCATCACGCTTTCTTTATGCTCAACACAAAGACTCTTTTCAGGAATGTTATCCAAAGTGTTTCTAGAGGAGCTTTAACGTCAAAAGGGGATGTTCATCTGATTTGTTATCATCCGTCAGGGGAGGCTAGCTTCTTTATAAACACAACACACAGATAACGTTTGCTGGCTGCAAGTGCCACACACACACACAGGCACTCAGATAGGAGATGTTTCTTATTCTGACTGCCACTACATTCGCCTCCAAAACTCCAGTCACACCATACATGTTTTTCCCGCCTCCAGTCGCATTGTGCAGATATAGAGCCCATCTTCAATACATGTTATAGGATTTCATAGACATACTAGTACCATTCGGAATGACACAGAAACATTTAGTTGGGTTATAAAAGAAAAGTATATAAACTATACTTCCTATTTAATGGAAAGAGACTGCATCTGGATAAATGCAGGTATTGTAAGTAGTTTTTAAGTAACAGGCATGTAAGTAGTGCCATCATACAAGAAGCTTCTATGTTGACGCTTCCTCTCTCTGGCAGCTTTAGGAAATGTTTGAGATATGAAGCAAAATCTGGCAGTGAATACACAAACAAACTGTAGTGGAGTTTTTTCTCTGTGCACATTAGTTTACATACGAGATGCTAAAGCTTCAATCTAACTGTCTTTGTGTGTGTGAATGGGCTATGAGTGCGGGGGCAATAACAGGAGACACAGCCGTCTCTCTCTTCACCGCCACATGTGGCACATTTCAAAACAATACATAAAAAGGTAACAAAAAACGTAACTTAGATCTTTTTTTCCTACAGTTTAAAATATAAAATTCAAGTGCAATTAAAGTTCCAAATATTAGTTACATTACATACATTTCTCTCTAAAGTAACACTCTGTTACTTGCAGGTAGTTTATCTCATCTTGTTACATATGTTCTATTTTTTTTTTTACAATATAGACTTTCTGATTCACTTAACCATTTAACTTTCCCCTGTGCTTAAATGGATAAAGCACCTACTAAAGGTGGAATGGTTCAGATTTCCCCACATAAAAATGGTTAAAATGTGCGTATATAAAACACATTTGTCTCAAAAGGGGTCAATAAAGGAATCCAATTCAGATTACACATCATGCATGTTCACCTGTGTATGTCCACACATTTCACACGTCTGTATGTGCGTTGTAAATCTGCGATGTGGGCTTCTGCAAGTTCAGTATAAATATTACAAAAACAACACAACAACACAGAAAAAAACAAGAGCAAAATAAAAATGAGAGAGGGGGAGATAGTGAAAAACAAAACGTTAATGAAGGTGCAGAAATCTGGGGAGGGTTGGAAAAGTAAAAGAAATAGAATATGGTGTGCAGAAATAGGGTTTGACCGATACAATGGTTTCCTGATACTTGCACTATACTAATCATAAGAAGTACCATTTTATTATATATATGATTTTTTTTAAATGTTTTAGAGCTGTTTGAAACACACATTTTAAAGGAATAGTCCAACATTTTGAGAAATGTGTTTTCTTGCCAAGTATGAGACGATTAATTGATACATTTATATACTGTAATAGTCATTGAAACCCCTAATAAACAGGTTTCCTTTCAGCTGCTTTCATTATGTTTTCTCTTTAGGGACTATAATGAATTACATGTAGCTTGATAATGTAATGTTGAAAGGGGCCCTATTATGTTGCATAATAGGTTTGGATTGTGTTTTCTGTGACATGTTTACATGCTTTAATGCTTTCACATGTTTGGTATAATATAGTTGGATTCAAAGAAACAATATATACACACAATTTCTATCCGGCAGCTTCTTCTGTGTTAAATTTCTTTTATTACTGGTCTGCAAAAACCCCATATCGGTCAAACCTTATAAAAAGAGCTGCACAAACTGAGGGAAGGGCGTCAATGTGTTACTTATTAAAGGAGTCAAAGATGAGGAAAGGCATTATGTGACAAACAGGGCAAATATAGTAAAGGGACGGGCAGGGGCGGATCAGAAAAGAGGGGGGGGGGGGGTCTTTGACAGGACGTTGGAGATATCTCGACTATTTGTACGGCCTGAGGAACCTGGTGACTTTGGAGCGCAGCAGCTTGATGAAGGAGCGCGGGAACATCTCTTTGGACTCCTGCGCCGTGTACCTGAAGTAGTTCTGAGGGTGGGCCAGCACGTCAAACAGAGCCTTTATCAGCTTCTTATCCTGGGAAGAAAACACACACACACACATGGGGTCATCCGGCTGGACCAATGATTTGAGGAGAGGACCTTTTCAACCTTCATTTTGATGTATTTTCATCAAAGACTAGTAATTGACTGTTTGGCTCAATACCTTCAGTATCTCCTGGTGGTTCTCAGAGGCGTAGAGCCTGCCATCTCGCACTATGTCCTCTATCAGCTGCTGGTAGTCCTCTGGAACAATGAGTAGGGCAAAAATAAATAACATAGCGTATAGATTGAAGACAGATGGCAGTCACATGATTCAAAAGAACGTGTAACATGATCAGGAATTCACTCATGGTAGACTGTGTGAGATTAGATTGATTGTGTAAAGGAGACTCACCATCATAAGTGACGTAGGGAACTTGGAACCCTTTGCCACTGTTTCCCTCGTTGGACTTAAACTGAATCCAGAGCTTTCGAGAGCGAGACGTGAAGGCGATGGGCCGCTCATAGGTCTGGCATGTCTCGTAGGTGGTGATGGAGGTGGGAAGGGCTGGAGGAACGGGGCAACCATGTTAGAATAGTACTAGAAGAATTAGAAGGGATGAAACCCTCTTTAATGGTCACACATGCAGAGCACACAGCACACACAGTGACATTTGGCCTCTGCATTTAACCCATCCTAGTACCAGGAGTCTAGTACTAGGAGCAGTGGGCAGCTATTGTACAGCGCCCGGGGAGCAATGGGAGTGAGGGGGGAAGGGGGGTGTCCGGTGCCTTGCTCAAGGGCACCACGGCAGGGCAGGAGGTGAACTGGGACCTCTCCAAGTAGCAGTCCACACTCCATATTTAGGTCTGGTCGGGGACTTGAACCGGCGACCCTACAGCTCCCAGTCCAAGCCCCTACTGACTGAGCCACTGCCGGACCTCAATCTTAAATTGAGATTTCTCTTGTCAATGGGTCTGAAATTACTTTTAAATCCTACCTGTGACAACATAATCCTTTCTGTCACAGAAGAAGAACATTCTGTGTGTGTCTATGTGTCATGACGGCAACATTAGTGTTATTCTTAATCATGATAAATCTATCCTTTTATTACCACTCTTTCTCATGACTAGCACGTCTCCACACTCATCCTCGATGGGGAGGAAGATCTCTGGTACTACGATGAGAATCCGCCTCTTGTGTGGGGGGTTGATGGTCCACACACAGTCCACGTTGGATGGGTAATCTCCAGGGTAGTTAGGAGACTCGATGAAGCCTGTGTAGTCTCCCAGCTCACCTCCACACACCTGGTCTGAGGGCAAAATGAAAGAAATACTTTGAAAGGCAGGTTACCAGTGAGATATTCAATGGACGCTTAAATGTATAGGTCGAGCAGGGTTACTTTTGCAGTGGGAGACGTTGGTGGCGCCGTCAAAGTCCGTGGTGGTGTTCCCGGGGCAGGTGATGCAGTAGTTCTGCCCAAAGTCATTCTGGTAGGTGCCTCCTGTGCAGCGGATACAGCGGTGGGTGCTGGAGTTGTAGTAATGTCCAGGAGCACAGTGCACTGAGGAGGAACAGAAATGTCAGTACACACCGTAAAAAATGTCTGACGATAAACGATCCACAAGATACATGCTGCAGCTGTGATATTAAACATGCCTAGATTACAGAACAGGCACATAAACAAAACACTAAAGCCTGTATAGGCGACTTTATCATTGACATTTGCAAATTGCCATTTCATGCACATCTGAACGCGGCTTTATGACAGCGGTAACAAGGAAATTGCTGACAAATGGCTTGTGTCATTGCAAACGTCAGTATGCACATACATATTTGTAAAGTGGCAGATAAAAAGCTCCAATCACACAGGAGAAAGTGAAGCAATCTATAGAATATTGAACAGGCATTTTAATCTACAGTCTCTGTGAGGCTTCATCAGTCCAAAGTGGTAGAATGACAAACAGAATAGTTTTGCCATTCGTTGAGAAGCTAGCAAGGCTAAAACATTAAAAACCAATCTGTGGAATACTTCAGAATGATGTGCTGTCACGCCATCATGCAGAGGATTAAACTGGCATTTCATTAAAGAGACCCAATGAAAGCATGTATATGATCATACTCCCCCTCAATACATTTAAATACATTTTGGCAACTGAATGAAATGCCTCAGTGCTGATTAAATGATGTTGCAGGGAAATACAGTATACATAAAGATATGTCTGACACAAAGACTCACCCTTGGCCTCACAGTCCCTGAAGGCCGTTGATGCTTCAAACTTGGTCAGGATGCCTCCTCCACAGGGGAAGCAGAGCACTCGGCCCGGTTCAGGCTGGTAGAAGCCCAGCGGACAGGACAGGCATGGACGAAAGCCGTCAGGAGAGAAGTGACCCGCTGTACACTGACCTGAGGGGAAGGACACAAGAGAATCACCTGTTGTACTTCCTTTTTCTCTTACTGTTTCAATTAGCTTCACTGAGAAGCTATTTGAGGTTCTACACTATGAAATGTGAGTGTTTCTCCGTCTAAGATCAGTTGGTAACCATCTTTCTAAGCTCAGATACTTCAAGAAAAGCTAAATGTATTTTGAGTTATATAGGAAGGATTGATCCTTTTGCATCATTCTCATCATTATTAAAATGAATGAACATGGTGGGACTTTTTTAGGTGCATCTAAACAAATATGTTGTGTCTGTAAAATCCAATTCTGCAGCTTCCTATTTGTTTCTTCCTTTTTGATATTGTACTAATCAATATCGCAATGTTGATAGAATTTAGATGAATTGTGCAGGCCTAAATTAAATACACTAACAATGGTCTGTGGTGCTCCGTCGTTGCTGTAGCTGTGATTCACTTATCATGAATGGCCACTAGATGGTACCAACACAAAATGTTTATACATGCATTTTGTTGGTACATGTTGCCAGAGCATAGAAGACATCTTCAGCGCAACCTCCACACCCCAAAAAACATTTAGAATTGCGATTCTCAGCAATGACAAGGATAAAAGTGGGAGGTGGCAGGAGAAACATCTAAGATGCTCTAATACAGTAAAGTGTTGAGTGTTGATAGTATGATTACTACTTCAACTAAGAGCTAAGTGTTCTGAAGTGACTTCAATGATGGGATGGGGAGTTACCTCCACACTGAGACACGTTCTTGGCCCCGGCGATGCCCTGTCCTTCGATGCCGGGACATGGCTCACAGGACAGCTGACCCAGCGTGTCCTGGTACGTCCCGGGAACACACTGCACACACTGCTCCTGCTCCCCGCTGTAGAACGTCCCCAGCCCACAGCTCACTGAGGAGGAAGACAGTGGCAAACACTTTGGAAGAATACCTTTGTGGCTTGTTTTGAAATTTGTCCTGCTGTTTTATTTTATCAAATGTATTCAAGTATACACAGTCATTTTGTTCACCTAATGCAATTCAAAAAGGTGTTGTAATGCATCAGCATGCACTTTAAAATACATAGTTCTGTATTTTAAATTGTATTGTAACATTGTTATGCTGCTAGTTATCCCCCTTTAAAATAAATGTACCAGTAAACTGATCCTACCTTCTTTTACGTAAATGTAAGAGACTACAGTTACCATTTTTTTGCATGCTGATAACGTAAACCCGTAACATGTAATCCGTTTCTCCACGAGCCTGCTAGTAGGACCCTGAACTCACCACACTTCCCCTCTCGGAGGACTTGTCCCGTGCTGCAGAGCTCGACTCCCTCCAGTACCTTGGACGGTTTCTGGGCCACCTCGTACTCCGTCCCAGAGAACTGGATGTAGAACTGCTGTCTGTTGATGGACTTCCTGAGCGTCCGCATGGCGCTCTGCAGCTTCTGCTTCACCCTTTCCCGCACACACTCCACGTTACAAGAGTCTGAGGAAAAAGAGGTTTGGTGGTCAAAAAACGAATTCTAAAGGTTTCTTTGAAAAACACAGCCTGACACTGTCCATATTTTACCATGTAAACAATTGTTCTTTTTCAAACTGATTTGATATAGACAAATCATGTAAGAAAGAACATACCTGATGCTTCTTCCTCTCTCATCTCCATCTCAAACTCAGCTGTGATATGGGAAACCTCTTTGGAAGGAGATTTGCGTCCTCGTCGGCGCTTCTTAGAAGAGTCGCACTTGAGGTTTACAAATGTTACCTGGCAGTCGTCTGTGCAAGGGAATTGGCCTCCTTCCAGGTCAAAACGACAAGGAGGAGGAGGAGCAATATGTTTTAATCAACACAAAAATAACTGCAGTTTTTTTACAATTTCACTTCAAATAAAAGGGTAGTGTGTAAAATGAAGCTCAACTCAGTACAATGTGTTTACCTTGTAGGTTCTGTCTGGAGGAGTCTCTGTGTTTCTCCTTGTTTCGGGGCCTCAGGTGACATTTGGCGTCTTTGATCTTAAACCTGGCCTTCTGCTTTATGGGTGCGGACAGCGTGTCTTTATTCATAAGCAGAAGAGACACACAGATTTGCTAATCACCCTTTATTATAAACAACAGATGTGTAAAGTCCAAAAGTAATATTTTGACTGATAGTAACCCGAAAGTCCTACTGTACCGGCACAGGTGGGTAAAGCAGTGGTGGTGTTCCTCTTCGGAGGAGCTTTAACAGGCTGGACGGGCACTCCACAGCTCAGTGTGTAGCTGTTCTCTGAGTCTGTTAGACACACACACACACACACACACACACACACACACACACACACACACACACACACACACACACACACACACACACACACACACACACACACACACACACACACACACACACACACACACACACACACACACACACACACACACACACACACACACATTAGACTACAGTGAGAAAAGAGGAATCAGATATGATGATGAGAGGTAAGGGAGGCTGAGTTTTCATTTCGTCTGATGGACTGCGTGACCGGGTCATCTGCTCCATCAAACATCTGTAAGATATGGAGGCATGTGTGTTTCACTTGGCACGGCGCTGGGCCACTCACAGCTGGGAGGATTAAGAAGAATTGTATAAACGCAGTAGGACCTTACTCTGCTCCTGTATTCAGAAACAACAGCCCAGAGGAAACTTGTTGAACCTCTATTGGACGAACCCTGTTTTTCTATCGTGATGCGCACAAAGAAGCATTTCAAGTGTGAAATGAGGGATGAAGTCTTTGGAGGTCATAAAAGTGAGATGATTAAATAAGAGCCTGGGCTGCATTTCGCCACAGGAATTTACATGGCTCTCTCCCCCCCCCCTGAAATTAAGACTTTGCTCCAGAAAGACAGGAAAACAAATATTTCACTTCATGCCTGAGCGCTCTCCATCATTCTCACACCACGGCAGCCAAGTTAAACGAAGCAATGGGCTCGCTGTGGAAAAAAAGGCGCGATCAAAGAATGTAATCAATTTACAGATGTGTGTTAAGTACTATTGCAGAAGGAGGAGACGCTGGGCTGCCAGCCAAAGTGCTTGCACAGGGAAAAAGAAACACATCAGTCTGAGTGAAGCACCCTGAGGAGTCAACAAGTATAGCAATAAAGGACGTTTTTCAAGCATCAGAGGCACAGACAGGAGAGTAGGTACAAGGAGCTGTGATAGCGAGCTGTTACCACCAGATGGAAGCAGCGTGTGTAGCATGACAGCTAAAACCATCTGGCTTTTTTTTTACAGGAGTAGAGTAAACTTTTTTATTTAAATGCCGTCAAGAAATAGTTTCCCCTTTTTTTCTACCCGTTTTATTTTTATCTAAGTGATCTCCCACCCAGACCACTTCCAGATATAACAAAACTGACACAAATTGTAATCATTCTTAAAGTATCCATAGCTTTCTTAGATAATATTATCCTCTTCAATACAACCTGGTCTCCTCTCCTGCAGTACATTAATTAAATCAGCTTGGCCACACTCTCTACACAAAAGAACAATTTCAAGTGAAGTAAAATATCTTTATTTTCCTTTTGTCCTATTTTCTAAATTGTATATTTTATGTATTTATTAGTTTTGTTGTAAATAATTTTGGTATCCACTGTAAAAAATGAAAATACAAAAATCAAAAAACATATAAAAAGTATCAACATCCTTAACTTAACACCAAGGTCCCAATTTAAGAATTTGGTTTGAATTGATACAAAAAAAAACAACTGACAAGAAAACAAGATAAGGACAACCAGAGCAACAATAATAAGAGTGTTGTAAATAACAGTGATAATGATACATGGGATATAGATTTAATGATTAACAGTGTCCCAGTTTTTCAATCCAATAGTCCTTCATTCCAGCCCCTGAAGTGTCAAGACATTGTTGCTAGGAAGTGTTGGATAAACCTCATCACTTTACAAACACCAGTGGTAAAAAGATAATGAACTTTTCGAAAAAGTGTGACTTTAACTAAGTGTTTTTGTGTGTACCTGCGAGGAAGAGGGCGTTGGAGGGGCAGGAGAGTGAGCAGAACTCTGCCCCCCCGCTCTTGGTGCAGGTCAGCTGGGCTCGGGGTACTGGCTTCCCATTGGGCAGACACTTCACCGCCTCTGAGGAACACACAGAGTCAAATCACCATGACAAACACCTGGACACACACACACACACACACACACACACACACACACACACACACACACACACACACACACACACACACACACACACACACACACACACACACACACACACACACACACACACACACACACACACACACACACACACACACACACACACACACGTACACTGGTGTTCAGGTCGGCTGTGAGGAATCCACCTCGCCTCGTGTGGAGAAAAGTGGACACACACACACACACACACACACACACACACACACACACACACACACACACACACACACACACACACACACACACACACACACACACACACACACACACACACACACACACACATGGTGCTTACTTACCGACACAATCCTTCTTGTTCCAGTGGAGCTTCTGACCGGGTGGACACACACACTCGTAGCCGCCCTGAGTGTTTATGCAGCCGTGCTCACAGCTCCCGTTACTGATGCTGCACTCATCAATGTCTGAGACACAACCACAGAGACCATTAGAGGGTGTGGGTGAATTACAAGACATTATAAAACAAGATATTAGCAAAGACAAAATATTGGGATTATAGGCACATGTGATTAGAGAGATGAAAGACAGTGAAGACGTAACTATGACAGACAAACATGAGTGCTCCATATATGTTCTCTACATACCTCATCATTGCTACATTACCCTGTGTACGCTCCCCTTTACACTCTAAAATGTATTTCCCTTATTAGACGCATACACACAAAAACACACACTTTTCTACTCTTTCAGACTTCCAGACCTGTTTGCTGTTTGATGTGAACCTCCTGTGCTGAGGGAAGTGGGATTCTCACCTCCGCAGTGTGTGAGGCCGTACAGGATGTGTCCCTTTTTGCAGACGCACTCATAGCTGCCAGGGTAGTTGATGCAGGTGTGGTCACAGGTCCTCTCAAAGGAGCATTCGTCAATATCTGAGCGAGACAAGAGACATCATAATTGAATAATCAACATTTCCCATAAATGTTTACCCATCATGGATAGTAACACTCATCCTCAAAATAATGTGGCTGAAATGATCCTGCAAATGTATAACAGAAAGCCTGTGTTACTAACTGGGGACATATAGACATATAGGAGCCTAAAATAGATCGTATTGGTTGAGTTATTGGAGTCCCTATAACCAGAAGTCAGGATATCTCAATGTCTGTTGCTTCGATTTTAAACTAATTATTTTTTCTTTTGACATGTTTTGCATATAAAAAAAAAATCAGTTCAGAAATTCTTGACTATTTTAGGCTCACATGTCTCATAAAAAAACGTGCTATTTTCCCAAGGAGGTGTACCATACAAATGAAAGGAAATATGACTTGATCGTGGCTTGAATCAGTTTAATAAGAGGTTTTGTCTCTGTGGAAGCAGGGGTCAGCGGGATGAGTGGTTTACAGATATTGTAATCCTAATGACTCATTTATGGAGAAATACAGGCTGCTCACCACGGACTTAAGAGGACGTCCTATTAATCACGGTGGACAGTATAGTAAACAAATACATGAGTTCAGCACTAAACTAGGACAAGAGCTCATTCTAATAAACCAATCTGGAAAAAGTACTGAGCTAGAGGCAGCCCACATTCAGCGTTACGTCAATGTCTGTGTGTGAGTGAGTGTGCACGCCTGCCCGCATGTGTTTATGTATACCAAATATTATTAACCTATCAGGAATGGAGGCCAGCGTTTGAAGCTCACCTGGTTTATTTCAGGCTGTTCCGCGGAGCTTTACAGGGGCTAAAAATACGGCATGTTATAATGGAGTTTGTCATGTGGAGGAAGTTGTTGAGGCCTGGATGTTGGCTCGGGTAAATATTCCAGGCAACTGTTCAAGTGAGGACTTAGGAATAGCTTTCCTGTTTCGAGCTAGCTCACAAGCAGAGTTTATACAAGCTGATCTGGGCACACTGGAATTGGCAACAGCTGTTGAATGTTAAAAAAGGACATTTATAAAATCATTTCTGGTTTGTTTGAAGTGTTTTTCTGTGAGATATGCCCTCGTCATGATGACTTGTTTTGACAGTGATTACTGGAATTCATCTTCTTCTGACAAAATTATTTCCTAAAAGGGCCCTATTGTGTTATTTGGGGGTTTTCACTTCCTGTAGTGTGTTATATAGGTTTTAGTGCATGTAAATGGTCTGCAAAGGCTAAAATCCCAAAGTTCCCTCCAGAGGCAGTTCCGTAACATATGTAGGGAACACTTGTGCTTCTATTAGCTAGCGCTCCAACACATTGTACGTGATAGGCTAAGGGGTGGGACATCTCTCAGCAGTTGACCAATCACAACAGATCTTGCCAGCTAACCAATCAGAGCAGTCTGGGCTCTGGTTTCAGACAGAGGGTGAAAAGAGGTGCTGCAGCACAGACAGTATGAGAAAAATAAAGATCTTTTTGAACATTAAAGCATGGAGACATGTCCTCTTAAACTTTTACAAAAGAAACAATAAGGTGGAAAATTATTATGCAACGATGGCAAATGATTCATCTCTGTGCTTAGGATTTCTTAGCCAGGACTGGAAAATCCTCTAGCACTGGCATGTCGTGTTTCACCAGAAGCTATTTTCCCTGGAGAAGCTCACCAGCACTAAAAAAACCTGGAAAATGAAAAGTTACATTTCCTTTTAAGGTCATGTTGAAGCTAAACAGTGCATATGTCAATGAGTGAAACCTGGCAGCTACAGCAGTCAGTGGCAAAGGTGTGTCAGAAATAGACTCTTTTATGTCTTTCAACACTCAACACCACATTATTAAAGACTTTAAACGTAGCGACAAAGATGCACAGTTATTACAACACACGCTTAGGGATAAAAGCAACTCAGGGTTTTGTAGTTAATAAAAATCAGTTTGTATTTGTCTGCCTCACTTGTTGCAACTTGAAACCAAGAATCTGCCTTCGGTCTTACAAACACAACACAATAGCTGATCACACAGACGCTCCTCCGTGTACGCAACACACTCACTGAGGAAGCTAGCTAAAATGCTATGACTCTGCACGACATTACATTAACGGGTTTCACACGCATCCAAATCTTCACACTGGAGCAATGGATATTTAAAGAAACACTTAGACATTTATTGAAATATACTTAGTTCTTATTGACTTTCTGTTAGACCAACAGGTCCACTGAGATGTTAGCCTCGCTTACACAAGGACTGCAGATGTGTGTATATTTCCGCTAGGCTAATGTCCTACAGGAACTAAGGTATCCCTGGACTCTCGGAGAGATCTAATTGATAATGATTTTCTCATCTTACTCCAGCACAGACGCACACTTGCTCTAAGGCTCCAGTTTCTTATTTACACATTCATTTCTCTGCACTGATCCATTGAGTCTGTACGGCACCGTAATGTGAACAATCAACCACGCGAGATTCAGGGTTGGCAAAACGTAATGAATTATTTTAAAACACTTGCAATGTTTCGGCAAAGGAAGTTATATATAATATTTAATAAAAATAAAATAAAAAATGTTTAGATTAATTTTTTAATGTTTTGAAATGGGTGGGATCAATCGGGATCGGCTAAGTTGTCAATCGAAAGGTTGTCTCTGTTTATATTAAGCACTGACATTTGTTGTTAGCCTTTAAGCCTCAGTTCCACATTAAAGGAATTAAGTGTTAAATTATATTTATTACTTATGTTGTCAATAAAGGGAGGGGTTACTTATTTTCAATAACTACTTCCTGTTTACATTGCGCCATATAATTACTTGACGACGTTGCCATTACCACAATATTAGCCATCGCTAGCTCCAGTAGTCCAGTCCAGCAGATGGCAGCAAAATAAGTTAACGTTTGATTCAAGATGGCGTGGTTCCTGCAATGCTTTATTATATATTAGTATATGTTATTATGTAATAATTGCATTGCTGTGAGTATCACACAAGCAGTAGGCCTTTAAGCTTTAGGTGAAACATGACAAGCAAGTCAAGAAAATATTTTATATGTTGATGAAACCAGTGCCTGATTGATGACAGGGATAATCTGTGTGATTGACAGCTGTCAGTTACTGACCTTGGCATGAGCGTTCGTCAGTGAGCAGTTTGTGTCCTTTCTGGCAGCTGCATTCGAAGGAGCCCACTGTGTTCTTGCAGAAGTGATCGCAGCCTCCGTTGTTCTCCAGGCATTCGTCGATGTCTGGGTGGAGACGATAACACATTTCAACAATCCATGTTTGTACAGTATATCACAAATTAGTTTGACATATAATATTTCTGTACATTTGATGCTATATGACAGAGAAATACTCAGACATACTGTATATACATCTGCTGTCATGTCATTTAAAGGGGACCTATCATGCAAAATGCACTTTTGTACGTCTTTTATACATGAATATGTGTCCCCGGTGTTCCAGGGAACTCACCAAGTGTCAGAAAACACAACCCTCTCTATTTTCCTCCATACCCAAATCTCTAATAAAGGGGCTGCAACAGATCTGATAAAAACTGATCCAGATTTGAACACTTTACTGACGTCAGGAAAGTGACGCTACGGCTATTGGGCCAACTCCACCAATCAGGAGGAGACAGCCACGGCCATTCCCATTAGAAAGCGCTAGAGACGCTGTAGTACATATGCCAGGCCTGTAGGTGGTGCTGTTCTCACAGAATCAACCCTTGCAAAAACAGGGCTAAAAAAAGTGCAAATTGAGCGAAATGAGGCATGGCTAAAATGCATGATCTGTTTGGTATTTTGAAAAAAAAAAAGTATAAATATGCCGTATGGTCCTACACTATATTATTCAAATATAGCATGATAGGTCCACTTTAAGTTAACAAACACACTTGGCGGAGTCCCTTTGTTTTGTTCCCTGTGATTTTCATCTTCATATTGCCTTTTCAAACAGGTTGCGAGCTTGTTTAACAGATCACCAGCAGGCAGCGTGGAATCAGTGATGGGAGGTTAGGCTCAGGGCTTGTTCATAGAGATCCCACTGTCTCATCCTATGATACGGTAGTTATGTGGAACTAATGGAGTCTAACTTCTGTCAGAGAAAAAGAGGAGAGACAGAGACTATCATTGAGAAATCTATAAAAGCTTATTTTTTTTTTTTTTTTACTGTGGGTGACGACCAATGAAAGGGTTTATTGTCACCTTTTTATATCTGTCATCAACCATCATTATCCAGAACGAAACTGGAAACATTTTGATTGACAATGTTTTTATTTTTTTATTTTGTACGCTCATATTGAGGTTAGGGATAAGAAGCAAAAGTTCATGAATTTGGGCCTTGTACCAAGTTTTGATCATGTCAAGAAGAGAGAGCTGATAACAGCCTCCTTTCAGCCTGATATATACCTATTTTTCAGTTCATTACAACGTGTAATAAATCATAAATCAGCCAGCGGATTTACAAACAACCCTAAAACTGGCAGCACTTTGAGAGTAAAACATTGATTTAAACTACTTTCAAAAGCAGTATGAGAAGCTGTTAATATGCTGACAACAATTTACATATCTAACAAACATATAGACAGCTCTGTGATCATGGGAGCGAGTGTCTGCTGAATCCCTGTGGAATGAACCCTGTATACCTGAGCTCCAGCCCAGGTGTGCTACAGACTTCCAGAGGAGCAGATTCTAAAATAATAATGAGGCTAATGCTATAGCCTGAGGCAGCATGTTCAGCGCCAACTGCAAATCTGCAGGCTCCACTAATCCCAACCATCCAAACCTCACTCCCTGCCTCATCCCGTCCTCAGTGCCCTCGCATGAACCCAAACTGCAAAATCATCACGTCTTATGAATACATTCAGCTTCTCCTCATCTCTCAATTAAAGTGATCAGATCATTCCATTTGCTGCTGGAGAAGAAGGTGAGATCAGGCTGTGGAGGTGGAGAGGAGCAGGAGGAAAGGAGGTGTGAGAAGGGACAATAGTCTGGCAGATTACACAGGCTAAGCCTTTTTTGATTGGTGCTCTCTAAGTGATGAATATTGTGAGGGATTAACACCTAAACCCTTGAGCTGGGGAATAACTCAGGCAAGACACCACAGAGAGACAAGTAGAGGAGGGGAGTGGGGGGGGGGGGGGGAGAGGAAGAAGGAAGGAGGTGGGATACAATCAGTGTTGTGTAAATTGTGGCTTCCGAGGCTATATGTACACTGCATTTATTTAGTCTTAATTTGTGTGTAACTTAATCAATTCAGCTATTAACGGGGTCAGGAGAAGGTGGCAGGAGCACATAGAGGTCCAGTCAACACGCACACACAAATGGCCCTCAGTGTAGCGTGATACGAGCCCTTATAAAACATCCAGTAACTAAGCCACTGTGTTTTTCCATCGGGTAGATTCTGGCCTCTCTGGCCTGATCCTCTCGCTCTGAATCCTCGGGGAGGTTCTACTGAATGAACTCTTCATCTAAATATGGAGCCGAGACAGGAATCCACAAGGAGCAGACCGCGGTAAAAATGTAGTAAACTGTATGTCCCGCTGTGCCCTGTCAGCGCACTTTACAGGGATTGTCCCTCCATCTGGCTCGGCTAAAACGGATTTCCCCGTTGGCTGGCGGGATGAAAGTGAGGCTATGGGGTTTTTTAAGGAGAGTGGGACAGGTGAGGGTGTACACCTTAGTGAATGGCATTAGAAGCATTTAGATTGGTTAGCTCCTACAAATATATCTCTTAGTTTATTACTAAATCGCCTCTTGACTTTTGCCATTTTCCATTTTGCTGTAATTTTTATTTGCAGTGTTTATTTTAAATGTTGGCAATTATTTGAAATTGAGCAACTTTATGTCTCAATAACAAAAGTCAAGTAAGTTAAAGGTAGAAAGTAAATGGGGGGCAAAAGTAAAGGTTTAGGGAGGCGTCATTAAAACCTACTTCTGGGCCTTGTAACCCAAAAACAGTTCTTGATCCTGCCAAGAATAGGGAGCTAAAATACAGTTTAGCCTGATATATACCTACTTTGAGGTTTATTACAACACGCTGTGAACCTTTAATATGCAAGTGGAAAGCCACTCTAACACTCACAGCACTTTGATAGTAAACATTGAATGAAGACTGAATTGATTTCTCTTTGTCTTTTTCCTGTTTTGTTTTTCATTTATTCCCAGTGTTACTCCTCCCATGCTCTGTTGTCTCATGTCTAACCTGCAGCACCATCTGCCAAAGGATTGAAATCAATAATATCCATATTTCTGTTATTTCCCCCGACAGTAGCTTGTCAGGCCATGCTGATCTCTATCTGTGAGACAGCAGGAGGGATGGCTAGCTGTGGGATACAAACATACGCAATCTTTCAAATCCTGAGACTACATGATTATTTTTTCAAGACTAGGCATTTTGAAAATGTTCTGCTCCTGCATCTTGTGGATTGAAATGAATCAGATCACAAACATGGCCCAGAGACCACAGAAAGAAAAGCTTCAGGAGTGAGGAAAGGTGGATTCTCCAACCAGGCATGTTGTTAAGAAAGACATGAGCACAAACAAACAAACGCCATCCTACAACATTCCCCCTCTGCCCACATCGTCTCCGCTCTAATGCCTATGTAAAAACAGTGGATACCACCCCTGGTCTAACCCAACACAGACAGACACAGCTTCGTAATTATTCTGGCAGCCACAAACACTGGCAGAACCAGCGCTTTCTACCCACACTTAATGGCCACTCTGGGGATGACTGAGCCTTATTACGGGGTATATAATTACCTTTAATGGAGCTTAAATAAGCTTTGAGCTTAAATAAATACATTAAGCCTCCGCACATCTTGAAATGATAAAGTTTGGAGAAGAGGGAGAAGACAGATAAAAGCCAGTTAGGAGAGTGGGTGAAGGGGGAATGGAGGGTGGCCTGACATGGGTGGCAGTTCTCAGTATTTCAGGGCTTGTTTTTACGAATGTTAAGCACTATTTTCATCTTATGTCATTGTGTTTACATGCACATCTTTGTTTTAAAGCACAAAGGCCATTTACCATATGTTTATCCATCACTTAGTGTTGTCCATAGCCATGTATACTTGAGGTCAAATCCAAGTACAGCAGATCATAAAAAAGTATTTCAGAGAAATGCATCAACTTCCCTTTAAGTGGTACACCTGACGAGGTCACAGGAGCAACTGAGACTGATGGGGATGTCTTTAATGACATGTCTTAAACACAGACCCACAGGGAGGCCTCTTTATATTTGTAAGGCCCATGATTGTGAAACACCCTCCCAGAAAACCTGAGGCGACAGAGATCGTTCATACTTCTGAGAGCCAACTCGAGACAGACCTTCTTAACTTGTCTTTTAATTTAAATGTATTTATTATAAATGTATTCATTTTTATGATGATTTTTTTTTTTATTATTCATTTGTTTATTCATTTATTTGTTTTTATTCTGGTTTTATTTAGTCCTGTTTATTGACTTCTGTTGATTTTAAGTGTGTTTACTTGTATTTAATTACCTTGGAAGGGGGGTTTGAGAAGCACTTTGTGTGACCTTTTGTCTAGGGAAAAATGCTAAATAAATAAAGTTTGAATTGATTTGATTTAAACAAAATTATTGAATAAATGTGATGATTTTTTATGGCAGATGAAAATGCAGAGAATCACAATCAAAATGTTGACGCAATCCATCTAGTAACTGTTAAGATTTCCCTTAATCAGTTTAAACCTGGACGTGTTTATAATAACACAACATTATTGTCCAAAGAGCCACGTCGCTAGCATGGCTTGAGATGTACAATTCTACAGTGTTTTTGTTTGTTTAAACACAGTACAACTATGTCATTGTGAGAGATTCGGTGTGTTCATATGAATGGGCAACTAGATGTCATCTTGCACCAACATCTGGAGAGCCAGAAGCCATCTTGCCTCAGGCGTTTGATAATGAGGACGCTCCTAATTAACTAATTAGCTCTTTGAACCAAGCAAAACAATTGTCTCTGCTTATTTCCAACAATCAAACAAAAATGTAAAAAGCACACACATACATATCTAAGTCTTTCACACCAATGATTCCAACTCTAGTGAGTCATTTGTCATTTTCACTTTACAAAGATTGACAATCTGCCATGCGTTTCTGCAGACAGACAGACAGACAGACACACAGACAGACAGAAGAGACAGACAGAAGAGACAGACAGAAGAGACAGACAGACAGACAGACAGACAGACAGACAGACAGACAGACAGACAGACAGACAG